AACAGTTATGAGCTCTTGGGTCACAATCCTCTGTGAGCCTGTTACCTCATCTCTACAGGATTGCCTGTAGAGCATCAAAAGATTAAGAAATGTGAGAAAATTGTGTACTTATAAACCAAAAGAGCACTGTGAAAATAAGTTGTTTGATATTAGTGTTTCTAATGGCTGATAAAATATCATCAAAGAAAAGTGTTTCCATAAAAGTTTTATTTATCCCCACAACAACCCTGTGAGGTAGGGTGATCAGGGCATTTGAAGATGAGAAAACTAAATCTACATTGCTTGTTCATGGCTATACTGCATAGTAAATATGTAGAAATTGAACTGAGATTTTTAAATGTCCATGACTTTATATTGATTCACATGGAAAAAGGCAGAGAGAATATTATCTCCCCCCTACCTTAATGCCAAAAGGACAGTGCCTTGAAAAATCCCATTTCAAAAGATGAAAGTAGTATTTCATTGCTTATTTCTACAAAGATTTATAAAATAAAAAAATAGTGAAGTATCTTACAATTTATATATAATGGTCTCATTCAGGGATATGTCCTTCAGCTGTGTATATGATCAACTATTCCAAATGCTAGGAATACAAACTCTTAAAATTATGAATGATAATGAGCAGTAGCTTCAATCTTATTATTCCTCCATGTATCTTGAATAAGTTCTGTGAAATCTGGTCCCAGTTTAAAATAAAAGGAAAAAGGAAAACTACCACAAAGATGTTCAGTAAACTTTTATTTTGTTGCCTACTCTCAAACCACTGTCACATTTAAAACAGTGATTTCCCAAACCTGGTTATTAGAATCACATGGAGGGCTTAAAAAAGAAGTACAGAGCTCTCAGGCTAGATCCAAGGAGACAATTTTGCAGGTGTTAGGAACCTATTCTCAAAGCTCAGTAATTCTAATGAACACTCAGGTTTGGGAACTACTGATGTATTTTAAAATACTAACTAAATCAAAACCATAAGGTAAGTATAAACTTGTTGCTTTCTTATCCCCTTTTTAAAAATTTCTCAAAACACATTATCCCAAGAACTCTTTCTTGCCTCTGGGCAAGTAATTTCAATTCAAGATACAGAGAAACATTTTATAAAAATGTATCCTCGTGAGTGAGACTTGGATTCCAATAATTTAAGGAGCATTTAAATATAAGATACTGAGTTTTGTGGTTCTTATTCTGAATATTTAAAAATGTATTCCATACAGGTTCCTAGCAGGCTTTCAACTCAGGGGAAGACATGAAAAGTAATGACATAATCAAGTACACCAACACTGAAAAAATACTATACTTGAACATAGGTCATGAGAGGAATAAGAAAGTGAATGAATGACAACCTAAGGCCTTTTGGCCCATACATTTTTGTTCCCAGTCCACTCTTCCCCTATAAGGGGAAATAAAATAAACATTCTTTCCTAGTTGCTTGGCATAGTTATTCGATGGGTAACTATTAACGAACTTAATTTTAGATACACAAGATTAAAAGAGATAATATCTAGGAAGACATACAAAAAATAAATATCTAGGAAGACAGAGAAATTAGGTCAGAAAACCTTAGCTAGCTAATGATGTAACACCACCATGTTAGTACAATAAATGAAGGCTTCAGTGTCCTTTACGTTTCAGCTTTATGTGATTGACACAAATGCGGAAAAGATCTGATCCTTATTATGAAGAATTCTGTGCTCGCTGTAAAGATTTGTAGGGATAAAGAAATACTTTCTTCATTGATGAGATGAAGTCTCTGTTTTTCAGGTAAGTTGACTGAACAAAACAATGAAAAATGAACTTCTTTTGAAGGTTGAACAAAAGTAATATCTAGTTGAAAAAGTCATTGGCCAAAGAGAACTTAAAAAAACAAACAAACAAAAAAAAAAACACCATTCTATGTTTAACCCTAAAAACAAAACAGAAAAACTAGAGAAATGGGGGGGAAAAAGTACACATACATTTTCACGGACAGTTACAAGAAAATAGCCATTTATAGAAGTCACAATGCTTTCAACAAATTCTCCCCAAATTTTGGGAAACAAGATAAAGCCATCGGGTAAATAAATATACATACTAGCTAATATAAAACAATTTATGCTTTTAAATTGTTATTAATTCTTTTAAGACCCAAGGAGAAATTTGGTGATATAAATCTTATTAGGGCTACATATATTACATGGAATTAAAAAACATAACTGATTAAAATGTTTTAACAATAATACAAATATTTAAAAGAATGTCTTAAAAGTCAGACATCACTGGAAATATCATAATTATAATATGTACTTCAGAGTTGTAATGTGTATATAGGTCACTTTTGCTGTGTCTTATCAGGTATCCATCTCTCCTGCATTTACTATAGTCAGTTTTTAAGAGTTTGTTTACTGTGTGAACTGTAGGGGCTGGGCACATCTCAGATTCATAAAATATACACCTCCACTTAACCAAGTGGAAGTGTTTAAGATAACATCTATAAACAGATAAAGAAAAGGGGTAATGAGACGATAAAACATTAACATGGAAGGAAGCTGGGTAGTTGTCTCTATAAATTATTTAAAATTCTGTATTAAATTTAAAATGACTCAAGTCAGGTAATGAAAAATATATATATAAATTGGTCTCAAGAAATTTTCTCAGGCCACACAAAATTTCCCTTAGTTTATTTCTTTACAGAATCTTGTTATGCTTGATTCTTTTGTCAGTCTATTTTAGGGAACTCTCCCTAGCATGGGACTGAAAACAGCTTTACTATTAGTACTAAGATGATTAAAGTGGGTGTTCATTTAAAGTGCCCACAGGCACAGTGGTATAGGTGCTTACATTTCCCTTCAAGTTATGGGAAAGCCCTTTGAGATTGTATTTACTTAATCAGAAAAGCTCTCAGCAATTATAATGCATGCTGAAAGTTCAGATCTTGTATAAGTTTGGATTTTGCTGTTTGAGCATAAAAAGGGAGCAAGGAGAAATGTAACTAGGTTCACAATTTTGAGCAAGAGCATATGTAAAGGTAACGTATGTACATTTTATTTCAAGAAAGACAGAAGACAAACAGCATAAAGATGCCCAGATGCCCTAAAGATAAATACATCTCAAAGAGTCTCATTAAAATGAATCTGTAGTATTTTTTCCTGCAAGCAAAATGCCTTTCTTTAAATTAAAACAAAAACAAAACAAAAAACCAGTATTCTGGATTGCAAATGCTTCTGCTCTATTTTGCAGAAAACCTGCCATGATTACTTAATGAATAAGGATTTTCCACAAAACAGGCTTGCTCTACATGCTAGATTTTTAAACAGTTCAGTGACACAATATGCTAACTACATACACAACATATAATATAGTAAGAAAACACTCAACCTGATGAAAAGTTAAAATTTTCATTAATACACTGAAAATTGACATAACTCATGCCTTTAAAATCAAAAATACAAAAATTAAATGTTTTTCTAAAAAGATTTCCTTATTTTAAGGATTCATTTGAAAATGAAGCTGCATGTAATTTGTACAGTAAGTTGTACAAGTAAACAGGTAATATACATAAAAAATTAAGTGACATACTCCTCAATTATCAGTTGTCCACCTTTAATTTCCAATACTGTACTTTCTTAACAAGCATACAAAATATCAAACTTCTCTTTAGAAAAAGTGCCGTTCTTTGACATCCTTTACACAAAAACAGTCTGAGCCTGTGGCATGTTAATGCAGTTGAGAGGCAAAGCATACTAACCTTACAAATTCTACCTTCCATAAAAAGCCTCCCGAAAAGGAGATTACACGCCACTATAAAAATATTAGCCTCTTGTGGTAGCTGCATTAGAGAACCAAGGCTTGAAGACTATTTTCATATAGTATAGAAAACCCACTATGAGAGCATATTAACTGCATTGGTGGCTTGGGAGTTTACTGTGCCACAGGATTATGCATAGCTACTGTAAGGTACCAAGACTGTTACACAGAGTTTTAAGTTGATTGTAACCGAGAGCATAACAGAGGTACTACCAGCCCATGCAAAGTAATTAAAAATACCGAGTCACTGTGCTGAGAACTTCATTTCTGGAGGAAACCAAAGGCAGCAGTAATCAAATCAAGCCCAAAAGGTGACCAAACACATTCTCCTCAAAGATTGGTGAGCACAGTGAAGTCTGAGGTATACCTTTATCCATTAAATCTGTGTGCCATTGCAAGATTTTACCATTTGGGAACACATGCCATCACAATGGTTTAAATCATTTGAATATTAGTCATTTATATATTCTTATCTACCCAGTCTCTTGATTTTTGAAAAGATTTCACCTACAGAATATTACAGAAACAAAATATAAATGCATGTCTTTCTAAATGAAACTTACATGGACTAAAAGTAGAGAATATTTTTAAACAAATATACAATATGCAGGCAGACAAAGCAGGAAAACGGCCATTCAAATGTATAATAAAAAACTAAAAACTGACTATTTCCAGAAACTATGAAGCGCCTCAACTAAAAGGAATGCATAATGAAATTCTAATCTAATACAGGTCAAAAATGTAAAAAGGTTATAAACCTTAACAGGAAAATAAAACAACTTTTACTGGCCATTCCTGTTGAAATGAGAATCTTAAAGTAACAGAAAAGTGGCTACAAACCCACTTAGAGCACCAAACAGAGAGAAAATAAAAAGTCCATTTTCATCTCTGTTATTATCATAAAATCCTGTGTGACTACAGGTCAAACTGCTGGTGGCAGAAACAGAATTCTTTATAAACTGCAGATGTCCTGTACATAAAAAAATTTCACTGGAGTTGCACTAGTTCTAAAGACTCTTCTGTTTTAGCCTACCTACTGTATGTATTCATTCTGAGATAAAGTCTCTTTCTGTAACCCTTGATTATTATTGGGCACCAAAGATAAGAAAAGCAAGACGGGGTACAAAAATGCAAAATTTCAACAGTAATGGCAATGTTTTGTCTTAGTCCAAAAGGGTCCTGCATTCTCTCCCCCTTCATGATTTGACACGTCTTAGTACTTAATCTGGGGGCAGCAAATCATGCAATCGAAATCTGTCTCTGATGTGAGGTCGAACATCTTCATTCTGTGTGGAGAAAGAGACATTTTAAAGGCCATGTAATTTCAAAGCTATGATCCTCAGACCATTATGAACATTCTTACGTTGCAGGAAAACATATCACTAATTTTCCAACTCATTTTATTTGCCAAATATAAATGTACCACACAGAAGCAGTTAACTTAGAATTAAATTAAGATGTAAAAAAACCTGCCATAAATGTTTTAATTTTGTAAGAATAATTATGTAAGTAAATGGCTCAACAAAAAGTTAGTAAAAGCATTAAGTCATTGAATCCTATTTCATATATTAATTTAAAATTAGTGAAACCGATTTGGCTCAGTGGCCTGCGGAGTGAAAGGTCCCATGTTCGATTCCGGTCAAGGGCATGTACCTTGGTTGCGGGCACATCCCCAGTAGGGGGTGTGCAGGAGGCAGCTGATCGATGATTCGCTCTCATCGATGTTTCTAAATCTCTATCCCTCTCTCTTCCTCTCTGTAAAAAATCAATAAAAATATATTTTAAAAAATTGATCTATGGATATAGGGAAAAATTTGCATAGTTTTAGTAGCATAAGCAATAAATCTACACCTATGAAAGCAAAATGAAACAGATTTAACAAAAGTAGTTAGTGATTGCAAGAAGAAGCCCAATGAAATGAAAATAATCTTTAAACTTTTAAATACTTATAATTTTAATATAATTTATGGCCCAGTTGGTGTGGCTTAGTGGTTGAGCTTCAACATAAGAACCAGTAAGTCATGGTTTGATTCCTGGTCAGAGCATATGCCTGGGTTGCAGGCTCGATCCCCAGTAGGGGGTGTGCAGGAGGCAGCCGATCAATGCTTCTCATTAATGTTTCTACCTCTCTCCTTCCTTCCTCTCTGAAATCAATAAAAATACAATAAAACAAATTTTAATGTAATTTATAAGGTTTGTAATTTTTTTCAATCTTCCCCTTAATCTCCTACCACATTTGATTTTTTAAAAGCAATTTACACGATTTAAATAAAGTTGAACCAACAGCATAACTGAAAAAGATAATTAAGACATACTTACCAGTTCTACAAGCTTCTCCAGAAATGGAATCAATTTTAGGAGTTCATTGTCATTTTTATCCATAAACCAGCTTTCTATAGGGATTCCATTAGATAGCTAAAATGATAAATAAGTAATTAAATCTTCTTTTTTGCCTACATTTTCCCTACTTTGGAAAAGCTTTAAAACGAAATGAATCAGCCCTGTCCAGGGTAGCTCAATTGGTTAGTGTCCTCCTGACATGCCATGGTTGTGGGTGCGATACCCAGACAAGGCAGATGCAAAAAGCAACCAATGAACGCATAAATAAGCAGAACAACAAATTGCGGTTTGTCTCTTCCCCTTCCTCCCTCCCTCTCTAAAATCGATAAAAAAATAATAATAATAATAAAAAAAACAACCTAAAAAAGAAAAAAAACTGAAGCCTAATTGGGTTTTCAGCATAATTTCTTCTTAGTGTATATAAAACTGAACAAGAAAGATCCATTAACAAGTTTTGCATTAATGTAACTGAAAACATTCCTTTACTCATTCAAGAAACAGTTACTAATAGTCAATGCTAGGCACTGTGAATGAAGGGGTACTGCCAATCTAAACAAATAATACTTTAGAGAACATATACTTATAACAGGGACCATGTCACACACATTGTTTTATTCTCAATAAATAGCAGGATAATCTGAAACACAGGAACATAAGTTGACTCAAAACTATTTTAATGAATAGTCTAAAAACAAGACTGCAAACCTTATTTGTTTGTAAGTAAATAGAGGCCCAAAATTAATGCACCGGTAGGGTCCTTAGGCCTGGCTGCGGTGATGAGGGCTAATCTGGGCCTTCCAGCTGCTAGCCAGGGCCTTTTTTTTTTTTCCAAATTATTTTTTTATTGTCTAAAGTTTTACAGTAAGTCTCCTTTTTGCCCAACTGACTCCCTCCCCACCAGCCATTTCCACCTTGGGCAAGCCCCCACCATTCTAGTATCTGTGTCCATTAGTTATGCTAATATGCATCCATACAAGTCCTTTAGTTGCTCTCTAATCACCCCTCCCCCTGCCATTTGTCTCTGGATCTATTTTTGTTCATCAAATTATATTGATCATTATATCCCACATATGAGTGCAATCATGTGATATTTATCTTTCTATGACTGGCTTATTTCACCAGGGGCCTTCCTTTGTTCCGTGCCACCCCCTGGTGGTCAGCACATGTCATAGCGAGAGATCAAACTCCCAGTCTACTTGGTCGAACTCCTGAGGGGACAGTGTGCATATTAGGCTTTTATATATATACTAGAGGCCTGATGCATGAAATTCATGCAAGAGAAGGCCTTCCCCCAGCTGCCGGCACTGGCTTCCCTCCAGCACTTAGGACTTTGGCTTCCCTCCCGGCAGGCACCTGGGACCCAGGCTTCCCTCACAGCTCCAGCTTCGTCTGGAAGGGCATGTGGTCTAAATAGCATATTAGCATTTATTATTATAGATATATAGATAATCTCTGGAATAAACATTTATAGTCTTTAAACATTTACACAGAACACTAGAGGCTCGGTGCACAAAATTAGTGCACTGGGGGGGGGGGGGGCCTCAGCTCTGCCTGTGACCTCCTACAGTTTAGGAAACCTCAGGGGATGTCTAATGACGGCTTAGGCCTGACCCCCAGTTGGCCTATGCCGTCAGTTGGACATCCTTAGCATTGCCGTGGAGGTGGAAGAGGCTTGTGCCATCACCTCTTGTCTATAAGCAGTGTAACTCAGCTCTTGCCAGTAGTGAACTCAGTTCAGGACTTCTAGCTGAGGGGCGCTCCCCTCAGTGATCAGTGTGCTTTGTAGCAACCAGTCATCCCCCTATTTGTTCAATTTGCATATTAGCCTTTTATTATATTGGATTGTGTTTGAGAACGAGGATAATGGAAATAATTTTATCTAGGAACCAAGAAAAAATTCTTAAAAACATTTCAAAATGAAAGTAGTGACCTAAACTGAACATATTCAATACCATATGCTGTTCACCCGGCTTCTTCTTTTTCCTTAGTGGACATTTAAAACACAAGTTAAAGGCAAATCTTATTTTATCTATACCCAACCCACTTTCTGTCATCTCCATTCTGCACCTATTTATTGTGAAGAAAATCTCAGATCACAGGAAGGTATTCATAATGTACAATGTATATCTTACAAAGGTGGCTTGTCTGTAGTCAAAGTTATATTTCAAAGAATCATTACAAAGGTTACAAATATACTGATAAAATAGACCACAAAAATATTAAAAATTTCAAAAATGGACCAGAGGAAGATGGTTAAGCTATTTGTAATTCTCAAACATGTTTAAATTAAATTACCTATGTAACAACTCATTAGAATGCTATTAAATGTTTATCTTATTGTCCCTTTTTATTCACATTTACTACTCAGATTTTTATTTATGTTGTGCTTTATCTTCTTAAAAAATATATTTCTATTGATTTTTTAAAAAGATAAAGGAAGGGAGAGGGAAAGAGATAGAAACAATGATGAGAGAGAATCATTTATTAGCTACCTTCTGCATGTCCCCTACTGGGGAGCAAGCCTGCAGCCCAGGCATGTGCCCTTGACTGGAACTAAACCTGGGACCATTCAGTCCTCAGGCTGACGCTTTATCCACTGAGCCAAACCAGCTAGGGCTATGTTGTACTCAATTGAAAAGAAACTTCTCCACAAGAAGTATGCCAATTTGGCATTTCTAATTATAAATGTGACACTAAACAGGGAAATTCCTCCAGTGAAAATTCTGTTCTCCCATTAGATGGTTTGGCAGCATTTGTCTTCATTGTGATTTTTTTTCCATTCTGAATTTGCTTAGCAACCCTCTTCCTACCTGATATGCAAAGGCTTGTGGTGAATTGTCAATTATAATAGTTTTTGAAAGATCTCTTCCAAGGATATTTAAGTCCTTTATATAGTTTCCTTGTACACAAACACAATGTTCACGAAAAAGTCGGTGCCTAAACATAAAAATAAAAACAAATTAACTAAAAGTAAAAAAGTAAGTCTCTAATAACATATACTGAAACATATACACATACCATAGGCTTTACACACGTTATACCTTATTATTTTGTCACAAAGGAAATTCATATCCAGAAGTGGACCTAAGCTTTGGGCTATAGCTTTACTATTAAAATTCTTAGCAACTACTGAAAACTAAAAACCAAATTGTGTTTGGTTACCATCTCTTAAATGGTTTATCCCAAAATATTATATTAAATAAAGAGGGATTAAAAACTCTGTAAATTGTTTTTGTAATTTATTTACCCAGAAAGCTCAGTTCAGATGCAGCATCTGGTTGTCAGCGAGGTCCTGGCTTTTAAACCAATATTCCAGATGGTTGACTGAGGCACAAGGAGGTCAAGTGACTTGCCCAAGGTTACACAGTAAGTCAGTGGTTAGCCCCGCATTGGAACCCAGAAGTCCTGGCTCCCAATCCTTTGCTCTAACCAGAAGACCACACAGCCTCCCTACCCCTGTACATGCCAGAATAGAAAATATAAGAAGGAATATTTCTGTGTTGGCATTTTAAAAATGTTTTTAGTTTCCCTTATAGTTTTTGAGAAAAGGTGGTCAAAACATTCCATCATTTCAACTTTTTCCCACTCATTTTTCAATTTAGTGTATGTGTATGTTATTTGAAAAAACAAAAATTGAATGAAATTATGAGTTTAGATTTAAGTATAACATGTAAACTGATGTTTCACTAATGACAGATACTAAGTTGAAAAATTCTGTATAATTTAACAAAGCTATTAAAGGTTTATAATATTTAAGTACTGTAATAATTACATAACCTTCATTCCGAACTAAAAAATATTAGTCCTGTATAATAATTTGATAGTTTAGTTTCCTTCTGTCTTAAGCCCACTAAACAATTTTTCAAAAGCTAAGGCCTACTCATTCATACCTATATTTTTAATCATGCAATTTTAAGAAAGGGGCAATTTCTACCAACAAAATCCGTCATAGTTCCAACACCACCACCCTCCCCAATCAGAATTCAAACTTAAAAATAATACTGCCAGTGTTAACAGCAAAGAGTTACGAATTTTAGTCAGACAAAATGTAGTATAAATAATTCTTTCCCCATTATAAAGAATGCTTTTAATTAAATTATCATCTTTCTCTAAAAAGCTTAAAGACAGTCCTACTTTGAAAAAAAATAAGTTAAATAAAAGGATTTAAGTAATTTTATTTGCAAACATTTAGATATGAAGCAATTGGAGAGGCAGATAGAGAGAGCATGTTCATGGAAGTCAGTACTGATGCTTTTTTCCCCAAGAGCAGCAAGCTTACCCAAGTCAGGAGACAACTGAATATGTACATGGATACTAACAGTTACTATAAATTAAATTGAAGCCTCTTTAGTATTCAAAAATCTGAGAGTCAATAGCATACATCTGCAGTTTTAGAAAGAAACTATGTTTTGGGGTTTTTTTTGCTAGTCATCAAATTTGCATTTGGACTTAATTGATTGAGAGGTCATAGGAATTTCTGAGTTTACCTTGTTGCCAACATGGATAATTCCCTATATCACTCTAATGAATTCAATATATTGTTCAAAAAGGTTTTCCTGTTTTTCAAATTGTAACAAAATAAATTTAAACCCCTAAATGTGAAGATTTTAGAAAACTAACTTAAAAGAGGGGTGCTACTTTGTAACATTATAATTGCATGAGTACAATTTGTCCTCCAATAAAATTAAAACTCCAGGAGAGGAAGGGCTTGTGTGGCTCACCACTGTTTCCTGGAACATTGGAGGGACTGAATAGAAATCTTCAGAATGAATGATCAAAGCAAAACCATTTGTATACTTTTGTTGAAGTTGGGTAAAATGAACATAAATTATAATATACTTTTATGAACAAAAAATACATTTTCTATTTTGTATGTCGAAAGCTTGCTTATATTAAAGATAAAAATAAAACTAACTATAAGGACACATTTTAATCTTTAGATAAGCTTAGGACAATATGAGAGAAAGCATTCAAGAAAATAAATAGCCAGCTGCTAAGGCAGTTTTAAGCCTTTTGTGGCATCACTCTCAGCTCTTGGTCAAAAACTCAGAGATTAACTCTCACATTTTATAGGATGCAACAAGACTGCTCAGTCTTAATATCTCAGTTTAACTAATTTTCAAACTGTTTTAAAATTACCCAAGGCAATCCACCTAACCAGGAACACACTGTATCTGCTGACTCAGGATACATACACAGGGAATAACCTGAATGACTAAGCCAACTGCCATTCCCAACTAGATTCATGTAACGTTTCCTTTCCATGGAAGATAAATTTGCTCTTAAAAAAAAAAAAAGCAAGAGAGTTTAATTTAATCCTTTCTGTTAAAATTCACTTTTATTTCTCTATGCCATTAAAAAGGTGCATAACATGCATTATATCGGCAACATAAAGGAAATGACAACATCATGCACACAGTGAAAAATTCCACCTACTCCCTCCCCCCAATCCCAAAAGTAAGGATACAGATGTAACAATAAATACATACCGTACATTTGATCTTTGTATCCTTTTAAAGGAGTTACAGCATTAGGAACTCTTTAAGAGTTGGGGGTTTAAAAAATTCATTTATTTTCACCATTCAACAGACAAATCTCCATATATGTAGCCAACTTAAAATGGCCATGAAAGTTAAATATAATCATAGTAATTTCACAGATCAGTGTGACAGACATTTCCACCATTTCTTAATTAAATTTACCTGACCAGTTGCTTTTTAGGGTCTAGTATGTTCAGTAACTTGTCTGCATACACCTTCTTAGAAGCAGTAAAAAGAATGATCTATAAATTCAGGGAAAAAGAAGTAATCATTATACATGATCTAAATATGGGTACTATGTTGAATAAAATAAAAATATTAATGCAGTTCAGCTCATGCATGTTTACCTCATACATCTGAGACATTCGTTCCAAGAATTCCCTGAAGAATGGCCTTAATCTCACATAAACCTGAAGAAATACAAAGATCGGCTTCAGCAAATAAGCACATCAAATACAACAAATTTCTTTATAAAATATGTTGTATCTAACTCTAGATATATTATAAAGTTCATATTTTAAAGAAATAGTTTACTACCGCTCAAGATATTTTTCACATTCTAAAAATCACTTAAAACAATCTTTTGGCATAGTAATAATCATTGATCATTTCACTCTTTAGTAGTTAAATACCAGCATACAATAGTACTTCATGGAATATAATTCTTAATAAAAGATTTAGACTACCAATAAAAAGTTTCCCTCTGAGATTTTGATCCACCAATCAGCTCCATCTTCCAGCCAGGTAGCATCCATCCAATTATTAGGCAGGCTGTGTGTCCATCTCTAGCTGGCCTGTCTCAATGACCTTCCTCAATAATTACTCAGAATTTCTTCTCAATAATCACCTGCTAAGAATAGCTTTATTTCAATTTTCTATTAATAATGTTCAAGAAAGAGATGTTTGGCCTGGCTGTGGTGGCTCAATGGTTGAGTGTCGACCTATGGACCAGGAAGGTCACAGTTCAATTCCTGGTCGGGCACATGCCCAGGTTGCAGGCTCGATCCTCAGTTGGGAGGGTGGGGATAAGGAGGGTATGCAGGAGGCAGCTGATCAATGATTCTCTCTCATCCCTGATGTTTCTATCTCTCTCCCCCTCTCCCTTCCTCTGTCTGAAATCAATAAAAATACACATACATAAAAAAAGAAAGTGATGTTTGAATTGGTAGGTTTAAATAATTGGAATATTTTCAGAAATCAAGTTTGTTATTTTACTGATTCAGATGTGGCATCTAAATTAGTAGTACTTGACCACTTGAGATAAAACTATGAAGTCAATTACAAGTTGTCAAAACCTATTGGCACTATCAGGAAAGACTACAGCACCCAAAGAACTGCCTTACTTCGCTGTGCCTATCTTCTTGCCTACATTTAATGTAGCTTCTGTAATATACTCCAATATTTAAAAAGCACAGAACTATAAACCATAAGCAACCACTAAAACTAATCTACAAAAGATTCTGATTCCTTTAAATTGTATTCATTTTGTGACAAAATTTTATAAAAATTTTGTACTCCACTCAAAGGTGATCATTAACCTCGAATACCATGAATAAACACTTGAACATCTCAATTTACTGACTAACCAAAAACAAAGTAAGCCAAGTACTCCTATCCCTAGCAAATAAAAATAACCAAATCCTCAGTATCCAATCACTATAATTTAGGATGAGTTACAAAACTTTAACTAGAGTTGCTAATTAATTTTAACATTTTCATCTTGAAACATTTAGTATAGTTTGTAGCCTTGGTTGAAAACCACACACTTTACTTATTTGGTAATCCAAGTAACTGACAGATTTTAGATATATTACTATCTTAACTAACAAATCATTTTTTATTAACTATGGGTGTTTTCAAAACAGATTTATTATGGTTAAGAAAAAAAAATCAATCATGCCAATACTTTTTTTGGTAATTACTTCATCTTGAGGAGAATGATTAACCATGAAATATCAGAGCTTTCTGTTAGTTGTTAAAAGTTTTTATCACATGCACTTAATAATAAAAAATATTTCTTTTTCACATATGTACAACTGTTTTCAATAATCCTGTTATCACTTGCTCTACATACTGTAAACTAAGATAAGCAGGGCCTCTGAAATTTGGGATGTTTCCTCTGAACACGAACACACATCATTTTAGAGGAATATTGTACAAGCACAGTAAGTGGAACACTGTACAAAAGTGACATTTTCCAATTTCTTTTATAGTGAATTCCAGATTAGATCAAAACTATAACTTCATTATGCATTCAACTACTTTTGACTATATTTAAATATAAAATGAACCTTAAATGATATTACTTTCAAAAAGTGCTCACTGAGGATGAAAGGCGGCACTAAAAATGGGGGAATATATTGCTAGGTGTTTCCTTACCATAGTAAAATACAGTTAACTGTTGACTGTAAAAGTTCCTACCCTGAGAACAACATCACCATTTGAACAGAGGTGTTTCAGGATTAAAAGACAGCAGAAACTGAAGAGGTTAGTGAAAAAACAAACAAACAAGAACATAAGAAAAGTACAAAGTTACAGTGAGCAGAGGTAGGATTGGAACAACATGGGGTTCTGCCATCTGCTGCAAAGGCAAAATCTCAGAACGAAAAATAGAGATAGAGATATAGGGACAGCAGGATCCAAGTCATTTGGATGGATATATAAAAGCAGAAATATATAGAGAGCAAGTACTGTCCAGTAGCAAACAAATAAAAAACAATTGTAGAGTATGTATAATGAGAGTAAAATCAATCACTGTGTTAGGACACAGAGATACATTAACATAAGATGCACACAAAGGCAAGCTTCAAAATCTATTCCACAGATGTTCAACTATTTTCTTCTCCTAAAAAAGATTCATGTACTGAGCTGCCCACTTCCTATTTTCTAATTCTTTCTCTACTTAGTATTTCAACAACCATCCTTCAAACTTGCAACTCTTCAAAAGCATGTCATCTCCCAAATTTAAGACTAGGCCAAAAGTCTCATTTTAATCTGAACATGTTCATTAATGTCTATTTTGGGTAATAAGTCTTATTGAAGACATATTCTAGCTACATTACAAATAGTGTTAACCTACCAGTAAACAAAATATATTTTGAAATGTTAATAGTTTGAAAGTAATGTATAATGCTATAAGAAATAATTATGTAAGAATCCCCAGCTATGTCTTCAATAAGACTTATTACCCAAAATAGGCATTTGTATGCTCATTACTCAAGTTTTAAAAGAAAATCTATTATTATTATAATAAAATCAGCAATACAGTAATATTGGGACTGATTTTACCAAAATTTAAATTTTATATTAAAAAGTGATAAATATTATATATAACAAAAAATGACATTAACAAAACTTGAGATGAACAAAACTTGACATCCTGTACTTTCTTTGACATGAAGACAACAAGAATGTTCTATAAGTGTGTGTATAGATGGTACTAATAGGCCATAAATGATTAATAGAACTAGATTAAAAAAGAGCAATAATTAAAACAGCACTCTAGTTGTAAAATGATTATAAGTATTGTGTGATAAACTTGTCCAAATATAAATTAATGTCTAAGTATGCAATGTTAAATTATATATACTGAATAATTTGACTACTTGTTTACTAAACTTTTATCTATTATCATAGATAACTTCCATAGCATGACCAATGAAGAAAATAAAACACCCAAAGGTAAGTGTAGTAGGCAAAAAATAAATAAATAAATTCAATGGAACTCACTTAAGAGTATAGCATCTTTAAATTAAAAAATAATTTGTGAATGCTATTTATTTCATCAGCAGAAAGAAGTTAAAAACCTAACAAAAAATAACAAAACAACAAAAGAAAACTAACAACGTTGGGGAATGTAAAGAATGAGATGGTATGAATAAGTGAAACATCAAGATACCATAGATCTAACCCTTCTGTACACCTCAGTTTTCTCATCTATAAAATGAGTATAATAGTGTCTATTTCATAGGGTTGTGAGGATTAAATAAATTAATGCATGTAAAGCACCTGGAATGCAACAGTGCCTACCACACTGAAACTACCTACAGCTATTACTACTATACATCTTACTATTTAAAAGTAGTGGATCGTAAGGAAAATAGCTGGAATGATTCTATGGGACAGAATTGGACAACCTTAATTAAAAGAAAAAGCCCATAGCTACAAGCTGTATTTTTAGAAGAAGGACAACAATAATGAATTCCATCAGTTAATAGCTTAACTATTCAACTTGCTTAACATTTTCTTAACCTCAACACCAGAGAATAGACATAAAACTCCAATCTTCTTCACTGAAACAAGGTTGTGCTCAGGTAAGCCCTGCAGAGGCTTCAACTTTATTATAAGTCACTGGGTGATTTCACAGTCATTTTTTCACACTGTTCCAGTAAGAGTTAGATGGCTGGTGAGGACAATATTTGTAGATGGATCAATCAGGGAATGAGAAGGGAAATACTAAAACATCACAACCAATAAAAATAAAAACAATTTTAGCTGAAACCGATTTGGCTCAGTGGTAGAGCATCGGTCTGCGGACTGAAAGGTCCCAGGTTCGATTCCGGTCAGGGGCATGTACGTTGGTTGCGGGCACATCCCTGGTAGGGGATGTGCAAGAGGCAGCTGGTCGATGTTTCTCTCTCATTGATGTTTCTAGCTCTCTATCTCTTTCCCTTCCTCTCTGTAAAAAATCAATAAAATAAATAAATAAATAAATAAATAAATAAATAAATAAACAATTTTAAACAATCCCTAAACTAAAAGCTTCTGCAAACCTTATACTGAATTAAGTAGAATTAAGTTTAAAAAGGAATTTTCTTAGAGTCCAAATAGGAAAAAAGAAGCTTAATACATTCAAGAAAAAGTTAGCAACAAAGAAAAATTTTCAAGTAAAAGCATTGTGTGTGTGTGTGTGTGTGTATTTATATTACACACACACACACACACACACACACACACACACACACACACACTGTGCTTATATTAAAATAAAGTTTAGTCATTGTAGGAGCAAAACTGGCCTTTGTAGTAAAATTAAAATGTCACCTTTAAAAATAAATTCTAAACTTTGAAGCCTTCAAACTTAATATGCTTAGTAATCACGTGCCACCTCTCCTGAATTTACAGAACATTTTCAACTAGTTGAGCAAGAACTTCTCATATATTTTTTAATGAACTGCTTCTAATTTTAATACATTTATAAAGAACCGAGTTCCCCATGAAATACATTTTATCTTTGAGAAGTAGATAACTATAAGTTTCAGCTATTATTGTTCTTTTTTTAACCTAAAAATTAATAATGAACAATCATGATAAAAAAGAGTGCCAATGACTAACTATACTTACTAATAAGAATAGAAAAGTTACTTAACATTGTTTTTGAGATTTACCTATAATTAATTTTCAAAGTATTTTTCCAGACCAGCTAAAATATTATCCTCAATATTAAGTGTCCATGACTCCAATGTTTTAAGACACAAATATATACATTTTTGTATAACAAAATTATGCTTTATGAAGGTCAAAACAAAATGCCTCTTGATTACTGTCAATTTAAGTCAGAGCTTGAGAGAAGGAAAAACTTGATTAGGTATTCACTACAAAATCCTCCATCTAAATGAACCAAAAATAATGCTGACTTTCCTAGGAAAGACTATAGAAGGAATAGAAGCCTCTTGTTCGTGGTATAAGGTATTTGAGATCCTTAGGAAAATTATCCTAGGCTGTAAAAGTCCCAAAGAAAACAAACTATAATATTGGTGAAGAGGCTGACCTTTGCTAAACGTGGGATTTCCCACCCATTTCTCCCCCCAATTTTCCCAATAAAAATCTCTACTAATAAAGTATCCTTTAGCAAGTAGCTCCCTAAAGGATCCTATCTCTCCTTGAGTGCTTACCACAATCTGATTTCTGGACAGCTGACCCAAAGTTTGTTGATTTTACTGATCTTCAGAAAGCCACTGACTGGCTAAAGTCTTTTTAGGTGAACAGAATAAAAAATTAGATGCCCCTGCCATACTTTACAGAATGAGGAGTTGGACAACACAGTTACGTTTGGCTGCACTGTGGTGAAACATATGAGGCATCTTCTTTTTGTCTTCAATAAGCCACGTTTGGGCTGAGTAGCTCTATTACATCTTCAAAAAACTGAACTCCAGTTCTTGATGGAGACAGAGGAAGGTCATTGAGGAGGTGGTTCAGCTCAAGAGCTAAGTGAAAAATCTGTCTTTTGATTCAGTCCTGCTTGTGGATAGAAGTCATCTTCTGGATGGAAGAGGGAGTGAGATGACCTAGAGTCTTGAATTGGTGGATCTGCAGGAACAGAAACTAAATACAGTGGAGACCTCTTAACTGAGTAACACCACGAGATGGATTTCCTGATAATGTGTCAATATAAACTAAGTAGAAAGATTAAACATGTGCACTGGAACTGATCATGCACTTGTTCTCTAGATCATCAAATGCATTTGTACCATTCTATAAATAATTATTATCCCAATAACTAATTGTAAAACAATTTATGGCAAAAGTACCAATTTAAGAAGGGGGTTAGACCCATTGAAAGAAAAATCTATAAACTTTGCCTTTGTGAGTACCATAACCTTACTAAAAAAATTCAGTTCTTCTTTAGAATACTTTTTCTCTATATAAACAAACCGTAATCTGTCTGTTTATATAATGTCAGTAGTAGCATACATCAAATTTTGAGTTAAAATTTTTAGGTATTTTTTTTTAATCCCTTAAAAATGGATTTCAAATATATTCAAGGTAGTAAACTGAGATTTGAATAATTCTAAGACTTGAAATAATGAACTTGAGTCCTACTTATCAATCAAGAAAAGAATGTAAATCATTGAAGGTAGGCAATCTTTAAATGTGAGTAGTGGTGCCGAAACCGGTTGTCGGTCTGCGGACTGAAAGGTCCTGGGTTCGATTCCTGTCAAGGGCATGTACATTGGTTGCAGGCACATCCCCGGTGAGGGGTGTGTAAGAGGCAGCTGGTCGATGTTTCTCTCTCATCAACGTTTCTAGCTCTCTATCCCTCTCTCCTCCTCTCTGTAAAAAATCAATAAAAATATATTTTAAAAATAAAAATAAATAAATGTGAGTAGTGGCCACCTTAAATTTCCCCTCAAACTTCAACTAAAAAACCTAAAAAAGTCCACAACCAGATTAGAATGGATATAATTTTAAATTTCTCTAAATATTAACAAGAATTCTGATGAACATTTGATTGCCTATTGCCACTTAGAAAGAATCTGACTGTGTAAATTTACTGTATATACTCTCATAATTATTAGACCACAGGTCAGCAAGCTATAGCCTGTGGGCCAAATCCAAAGTGTCATTTATTTTTATAAACAAAGTTTTGTTTTGTACACAGCCATACTTAACAATTATGTACTGTCTATGACTACTTTCAAGTTACAATGACAGAAAAAGCAGTTGCAATAGAAACTGTAAAATCTAAAATATTAACAAATGGCCCTTTATAGGAAAATGTTTGCCAACCCCTGATATAGACAATCATGGAAACACATGTAAGACAATTTACACTGTTTTGAAAGAAAGAGAAATAACAAGTGGAAGTAAAATTGGGTAACGAACCATAATGAACTTATCACAAAAAGAAAGTAAAAGTAAAATAAATCCCTAGAGGACATTATCTGGTTTTGATTCAGAGAAAGAAACTGATCCTATCTTAACTTTACCCTTTTATTTTTAAGAGTATATATACATACATGCTATGGAAACTAACGTATTAAGAGTACGTAAATAAATGCCACAGAACTGTTAACTTAAAAAGTTAACTTTATGTTGTGAATTTCGCCTCAATACATTACTTTTTAAAAGAGTATATACAGTATTTTACAGGTTTCTACCTTTAAGTGGGCCACATTATATTGTAGTGGTTAAATATGTAAGTTACATCTTACCTAATAATGTGGTTTCTCCAAAATCTCTTAGATCATCTCAGACCCTTGTGTATATTTCTTCTTTGCCAGTAGATGGAGACAACACCACTGAAAGTTTAAAAGACATCATTCCCTGTTTAAAGGGAGCTTGCTGGTCTGAAAACTGAGGGAACTCTAACCCAAGATTTCTTCAAGTTATTTTTTTAAAAGCAGACAGAATAGCCACGCCAAAACCAGAAATCCAAAGAAATGTACCCAATATTAACTATGGACATCCTCAAAAATTTACTGAAGGGGAACTAAACTCTGTACATGATGTAGTAACTAAATCATAATATTTAATTGCAATCATCTCTATAACTTATAACTCCAAACTCCCATTTTATTGCTCCTGATTTAGGCATACCATTTATTTTTCAGTTTTAGAAAGTTTAACTCATATAATAAAAAGAGTTCTTTAATACAACAGAGGTATACAGTACATATAGGATTTTTATTAGTTATATGCACTGTTAGGAAGCCTTTTATTCAAAATAAGACAACTATCCAGATCCGCATGAAAATAACAAGAAATTTACAAAGGAGAGAAATGAAGCAGAAATGATCAAAGGAGTAAGAAAAATTCAACTTTATGGTCACACTGGAAAGAAATGCTCATGAAAGAGAAGAATCAAACTCTCCTACTTTCCAAGTTTCTTATTTCACTATTAAAAAGTACATAAACAAATCAAAACCATCTTCAAGAAATAAACTCCAAATCTGAAAGCTTAAGGAAGTCATCTCAAAATATTATTTTTAAGTAACAGCTTTATTTTTCACATTCAAAGCCCAAAAGCCAGTGTTTTTAAGTGCAATTTTGAACAACAAAAAAAGCAATACAAAGGTATCAAACTAAAAAGAGAGAACTAAAATATTTCTATACTATTTATTTTCCAAAAGACTACTGTCGTTAAATGTGCACTAAACAAGAACAACCTATGGCAGAAAATGCCTTATTAAGAAAAAGATTTACCTTAAGCCAAAAAATACTGTTACAAAGGAATAAATCCCCTATTTGTATGTATATTTTGCTCATCCTATGATCATATATCAGAACTAAAATCAGTTTCCATAAAAGGAAAATGAATATAGTACTCAGATATGACCATACCTACAATACCTTTCTAGGATAAACTAGAACTGACAATAACTGCTAAAATAAATCTTATAACTCATTACAAGATAAAGTGGGTAAAGTAGACTCTGAACCACAAACTTATATTTAATTCTCATATTGAAAACTAAACCCAAGTTCTAACCGCCTTTTAAAAGCAAATAAACAACCATAAAACAACTTTTCATCATCTTCATAGCAACATTTTCTGGCTTTATTTAGTTAATCCTTCAGTTGGCTACCTCCTGACAAACAACATTTTGACTTTTTCCCAATCATTCAACAACTGTTATGTATAAAGATAATACTAATTAAATAACTGCCACCACAGAAAGGCACTTCCCTTGCAATTTTCAAGGTATATTCACACATATTAATTCAAATTTTATATAAGGAAAATCTCAAAGATAATGTAAAAACTATGACCAACACACATAAAATGTAATTCATAGTATTTTGTACTGTTTCCTGTTCAACAATACAGATGAGAGAGAATGCTTGTACCTAATTTTTTTTTAAAGTAAAGCAATAACTAGAAGAATATCCTGGAATTTTGTGATTATAAAGTAGGTCAACCAAAATGCAATCTACCGACCATATTACTACAAAAGGAAATAAAAATGACCAACAAGGAATGAGTTTTCTTTACATCATTTGGATTTTGGAGGGGAGAAAACATACCAGGTATTAACCTGGCAAGTTCTTCTTAGGGATCTATGATGTCAGTGCTCCTGCCTCCACCTGCTGGCAAATACATTATAAAACTAGCAGAAATCACTTGGTAAAAAAGTTCACATATTTGTGGCAACAAATTAAGGTTGTTTTATGTAATTATTTAGTATGATTCTACTCTGTGTTAACAAATCATTAAAGTACTGATGAAATCTAATAGAAAACCACATTAAACTACACCAAAAAAGAATTTACAAAAAATTTAGTTCAGAATGTTAATCTAACAGGTCAAGAATCAAATGAAAAATTTTTTTTAATTACCTGATAAATGACATCTTGGAAAAGAACAGGAAAGGTAAGTGCTGCATCTTCTAGCTCATTTAGACTACAGTGTACTAGTGTTTCATCCTTAAAATAAAAAATACATATTGAATGAACCAAGATATTAAAAGAAATGTCCAATGATTTTATGTCCACAATCTCCAAACGCATCTATTCAAGCACCCATTCAAATATGGAATTTTATATTCACCATACATTACTGTGTGTAACATAATAATGTGGATAGAATTTTCCATTTTTTTATTAAAATTTTTTTGTTTTAATTTATTAATTTTAGAGAGGCAGGAAGAGAGAGAAACATTGATTTTTGTTGTTCTATTTATTTAAGCATTTATTGCTTGCTTTTTATATGTACCCTGACTGAGGCTTGAACCCTGCAACCTTGGTATATTGGGATGACACTCGAACCAAATGAACTACCCATTCCAAATCCCTGTAACTCTGGTGTGATCTCTGGACCAGCAAGGAGCATCACCTGGAAACCAGTCAGAAATAAAAATTCTCCACTCCACTTCTGATAATTCAGAAACTCAGCAAGGGGTGAAGAGAGGAGCTCAACAGTCGGCTTAAAAAGCCCTCAGTCCAGCCAGTGTTGAGTGCTGGATCCATGAACCAAAAGGTCACTGGTTCCATTCCCAGTCAGGGAACATGTCCAGGTTGCAGGCTCAATCCCCACTAGGGGGCAAGCAGGAGGCAGCTGATCAATGTTTCTCTTATTGATGTTTTTATCTCTCTAGCTCCCCTTCCTCTCTTAAAAAATAACAACCCAATAAAAACATATTTTAAAAAAGGCCCTTCAGGTGATTCTAATGCAAGTCACAGTTTGAGAACCACTGTTTTGAGTTCCAACTTATTGTTAACTAAACCACATATATACTGCTTTTAAAATGGAAGTTTAGAATCTATTACAAATCTTCCAAAAATAGATATATTCTATTCATATAGCCCCCTATCTTTAAAAGTGAATGTGTTAGTACCTGTTGAATGTTTCAGACATAACCATTTGTTTAACTAAATAAATGAAGACTTGCCATCTTTCATTACCAAGCCCTGTTTTCTCATTAAAAGAATAAGGCAAAGATCATTTGATCTAAGATATGAGCAAATATTAATATTTCTCAAATCCTGAATGATTAAAAAAAATAAGGCTTCCTTCTATAGTGACAACACTTTTAAAAAAAATAGAACTGTTAATGACTATACCCCAAAATTTTCAATACATTTAAGGTGAATTAAAATGAAATACAAATGTTCATACTTTGTGATTCCACATCTTATTAGCTGAAATGTTTTTGTTTTAACCTAATATTAAACTCTGTGGAGGCAAACAGCAAAATATACTCTAGATAAACCTCATTTTTTTAAAAATATATATTTTATTGATTTTTTACAGAGGAAGAGAGAGTGATAAGAGAGTTAGAAACATCGATGAGAGAGAATCATTGATCAGCTGCCTCCTGTACACCTCCTACTGGGGATGTGCCCACAACCAAGGTACATGCCCTTGACTGGAATTGAACCTGGGACCTTTCAATCCGCAGGCTGACACTCTTATCCACTGAGCCAAACCTCATTTTCTTTTAATAGCACACTAGACTACTCATTTCAAGGTATTCTCTTAGCACTTTAAAAAAGATATTCTTTCCCACAATTGACGCACAACTCATTATATTACCTCACCTATAGCCTAACTTTTGCTCAGTCTGCTTTATCCACTTCTGTAAAATAACTTAGCCAATTCTTATCTTTCTTTTTTCTATTTATATTCATATTTAATGAAAAACTACATGGCAAAACTTGCCATATTAATTCCTAACATAAAAATCTAGCAAAATCTTTTTCAGTTTCTCCACTACCTTGCACATCAAATCTAAACTACCCATAATCAGTTTCATTTTTTTCTTTCTTTCATTTATCCTCTAATAAATATCTTAAGTACTCAGCACTACTGGATATACCTCTCTTACATCTCCTTGGCCAGGTAAAGACTTAAGTGTTTAAACTCTCAAAATAGAACTATATATGCTAATATACTATATAATCCTATATAATAAAAACCTAATATGCTAAGTGTCCGACCATTCGACCAGTCACTATGAAGTGCACTGACCACCTGGAAGCAAACGTTCCAACCAGTAAGTTAGCTTACTGATGGGGTCTGGCTGATAGGGACTGGGCGACACAGGCAGCCCTCCCTTGGTCCCTTCCAGGCTTCTAAAGTATTTCTTCTATTTCTTTTCAATGTTCATGAATCTGTGCACTCAGCCTCTAGTTTAAAATAATATGCTTTTTCTGATGCAAAATTCTTTATCAGAATTAAATACATCTTCAATTACAGAGTACCAGTAACAAAGGCTAAGTTATAATAATGTTTCCCAGTATTATATAATGGACATCCAGTTTTTAAAGCTATTCTGGTACCTTAAAGTATAAAATTTAAAATCATACCAATAGAGCATATTAAAGGTTTTTTTTTTTAAATATATTTTATTGCTTTTTCACAGAGAGGAGGAGAGAGGGATAGAGAGTTAGAAACATTGATGAGAGAGAATCATCGATTAGCTGCCTCTTGCACACCCCCTACTGGGGATGTGCCCGCAACCACAGTACATGCCCTTGACCGGAATCGAACCTGGGACCTTTCAGTCTGCAGGCCGACGCTCTACCGCTGAGCCAAACCAGTCCTGGCATATTAAAGGTTTTATTAATTAGCATTAAGACATCATGCTTTTGAGAGTGTATTAATAAATAGTCCTTGATATTAGATAATACACAAAAACAAGAATAGAAAAAGAAGTATGGTCTTGCAAAGGTTAACTCACTGAGACCTAGATAATATTTGGTCTTTCAAGGAAACAATCCTGACCCAAAAGGTGAAATCTAGATATGAAATTAGAATTTTATTGGGAGATTTAAAAAGGTACCGGTCACCCTCATCGGTGTGGCTCAGTGGATAGAGCATTGGCCTGTGGACTCAAGGGTCCCAGGTTCGAGTCCAGTCAAGGGCATGTACCTTGGTTGCAGGCACATCCCCAGTGTGGGGGTGTGCAGGAGGCAGCTGATCAACGTTTCTCTCTCATCAATGTTTCTAGCTCTCTGTCCCTCTCCCATCCTCTCTGTAAAAAATCAATAAAATATATTTTAAAAAGTAATAATAATAAAAAGGTACCAATTATCAACCAAGCTAGGGACCCAAAGCATTAGACCGAGCTTAAAATAAAAACATTTCAGCAGGAAGAGATTAACCAAACAACTTATATGCATAGCCCAAGGACAAATACAAAAGTGCAATGAAGGCCTGGATTGGGGGAGGAGCCAAGATGGAAAAATGGGGAACAGCAGTAATACTCTCAACAATAAAAAAAAACAAAAAAAAATTTCAGAACACCTAAGACAGGTTCATAGCAAATGTGTAAGGCTCTTTAGTTACCTAATTTTCTTTTTGGTGCTTGGGGCTAGTATTTTAAAAGAGAATTTAACTCCTTTTTTTTCTTTTTCTTTTTCTTTTCTTTTATATTTTATTGATTTTTTACAGAGAGGAAGGAGAGAGATAGAAACATCAATGAGAGTCATCGATCAGCTGCCTCTTGCACGCCCCCTACTGGGGATGTGCCCGCAACCAAGGTACATGCCCTTGACCGGAATCAAATCTGGGACCCTTCAGTCCGCAGGCCAATGCTCTATCCACTGAGCCAAACCGGTTTCGGCTCCTTTATTTTTCTTACATAGGCAAATAATATACTTACCAGATCTAAAACTAGGGAAAATTCTGGTGTGCTTCTTGTTTTCAATGGAAGAGCAGGTTTCCTATTTAGTTGTTCTTCTGTCAGTGGTGGAACATGTTTGATGAAATAATAGCTATAAATCAAATTTTAAGAAAATTTCAACATTTCTACTTTTTATAAATATAAGGCATATTATTAAACTCAGCCCACCTTATTAAATATTAAATAATGAATATTTAAATTAATAAACCAACCATGTAAAATGTAAATAAAACTGAAAATATGCAAATTAGTATTTGAATTACTCAGTAAAAGTATTATTATCTATAAGTTACATGCTCTTTGCAATACAACACCCAGCAACCTCTCCACACATGGATTTTCATTCTGCTAAGAAGGAAGGAAAAAGAAAACAACTCACGGGTCAAACACTTCCCAATCTTCTTCATAAGTGGCTTCTGCATGGGCTGCTGAATATCCACTATCTGGAGTTATTGGTGCTATTTAATAAAATGAAAAATAAAATGTTACTTTTACTCAATGTTGCCATGAAGTATACATCTTACTGCTTTTATGTAAGATCTTCCTGAAGCCCTGTATATTTTAGGTTGAAGATAAAACATAAATAATAACTAAATGGTATTTAAAAGCAAATTAATTACCATATAGCTCTAACTCCAGATTCAAAGGAAAAACTACCAATACAGACAAAATGGCAAGCTACATAATGGCTAGCATAACTTAAAAATTCTGAGAGAAAATTTACTAATTACCAGAAAAATACACTCCACAAGAATTCAATTTCTAAGTGGATGGTGTTTACATATGTAACTATAAAAATTTAATGGTGCTCTTATAGTAATAACATCCTACAAAGTGCCTTGTACATTCAGGTGATCAATATATGTGTGCTCATGATAGACCCAAAGCTATATTCTAATCTACAACTCACGAACAGTCTTTAAGAGGTCCATGAACTACCTGAAGACTTATAAAAAAATGTTATATGTACATTTTCCCAGGAATCTCAAGGCTATTTCTGATTTTAAATAGTTTTAAAATGCAGTTCTATGTAGAAAGCACTGATTTAGAAGACCCATTATTTTACTTCTTATGTACAAACAACTGAAAATAAACAATTCTATATTCCATGACATATAATCCATTCTATGCTTGATCTAAAATTGTATCAACTAATACAGCTTTAGAAATTATGTGGGGAATTTTCTAAGATAATAATTACAACTTAAATTCAAGGAGAGGAAAAATGATCATTTAAAACTAAACAGGTAATAGCTCACAGATAAAAGTTTAGGGTGGATGCTAGAGGCTGAATCTTTGTGCCTCTCCTCCTAAACCCCCCAATTTCGATGTGATATTTGGAAGTGGAGTCTTTGAAAGTTCATGGGATCATGAAGATAGGATTAGTGCCCTTTTGAGAGCTCACATAGCTTCTGCCATGTGAGGACACACTGAGAAAACAGTTGTCTATGAACCAGAAAGCAGGCCCTCACCAGACACCAATGACTTGGATTTTCAAGTCTCCTGATCTGAGAATTAAATTTTATTATAGCAGCCCAAAAGGACAAAAACAGTCGAACTCAAAAAAAATTGCTGTAATTTTTGTAACAACTTTATGCCAATAGAACAGTTCATTATCACAAGAGGATAATAGAAAAAAATATATCTTCCAACCACTTGTTTTTAAATTCCTATTAACCTCAGAGAAAGGGAAAAGAAATATTTGAGTGCCTTCATTCTAAGCATTTTTCATACTTCATCTTTCTTACCCTCAAAACCCTTTTTAAAAATTTTAAAGCTAAGAATACTGTCTCACAGAACTTAACGTAAATTGTTCAAAGTCACAAAGCTAAGTAAACGGTAGAGCTAGCCTCCTTCCTTCTTGTTCTTTTTGGCTACATTCTTTTTTTTTTTTTTTTTTAAATATAATTTATTGATTTTTTTAGAGAGGAAGGAAGAGGGATAGAGAACTAGAAACGTCGATGAGAGAGAAACACCGACCAGCTGCCTCCTGCACACCCCCCATTGGGGATGTGCCAACAGCCAAGGTACATGCCCTTGACCGGAATCGAGCCCGGGACCCCTCAGTCCGCAGGCCAATGCTCTATCCACTGAGCCAAACCGGTTTCGGCATTGGCTACATTCTTGAAATTAGGGAAAAGTAATAATTTTGTCTCTCATATTCATCTTTTATGATCAGCAACAATTTTACTTAATGATTCTCCCAGAGTAATTGCAATGTGCCACTTCATTATTTTGCTCATTTATTACTATTTAAAAAAAATTTTTTTTTCAATTACAGTTGACATCCAATATTAGTTTCAGGTGTACAACATAGAGATTAGACATTTATATACCATACGAAGTAATCATCCAGATAAGTCTAATACCCATCTGACAACATACATAGTCATTACAATGTTATTGACTATATTCCTTACACTGTATCTTACATTCCTGTGACGATTTTAATAACTGGAAATTTATCCTTCATAATCCCTTTCACTTTTTTTCACCCATCTTCAAATACCTCTCCTATCTGACAACCACCAATTTGTTCTCTGTTCTCTGTATTTCGAGTTTGCATCTGTTTGGTTTATTCATCTACTTTGTTCTTTAGATTCCACATATAAATGAATCATGGTACCCTCTAAGTACATCTATGTTGTTATAGATGGTAATATTTCATTCTTTATTATGGCTGAGTAATATTCCATTGTTCATTTATTTTTAATAGCACTCATCACACTGTATAGTTTTTTAAAAACATATTTTTTATTGATTTTTAGAGAGATAAAGGGATAAGGATAGAAACATGGATGAGAGAGGAAATAATTGATCAGCTGCCTCCTGCATGGCCCTCACTGGGATTGAGCCCACAACCCGGGCATGTACCCTAACTTGGTACTGAACCAGTGACCTCTTGGTTCTTGGGTCAAAGTTCAACTGCTGAGTCACACCAGCCGAGTGCATAGTTATTGTGTATACTTGGTTCATCAATTTACTCATATATTCTTAAGATATATCTATATCTATATCTATCTATCTATCTATCTATCTATCTATATATATATATAAATTTTTAAAGGTTTATTAGTTTTTGTATTTGTACTTCCTCCTCAGAGCAATGCCTCCTCAGTTACTACGGGAATTAACTGAGCCAAAATTGCCCTCTATTTTTTTTCCATTGGTTTTTAGAGTAAAAGAGAGAGGGAAAGACAGAGAGAAACATCACTGTGAGAGAAACATAAACATAAGTATTGGTTGCCTCTTGTAGGAGAGCTGACCAGGGCCTGGGCAGGGGAGGAGCCTGCAATCAAGGTACTTGCCCTTGACCGGAATCAAACCCAAGACACTGGTCCACAGTCCTACACTCTATCCACTGAGCCAAACCAGCTAGGGTCAAGAGGCATATCTTACTCAACTTTATAAACCCATCATAAAAATAGGTGTTCAATAAATGTTAGCAGAAAAAATAAATGAGATGACTGGAGTAAATCTTACTTTCCCCCCATCCTAAAAACCCTTAAGGTTATAGAAATCCCTTCTCCATCTTCATAGTTGTCAGATAAAATAAATATAAAGGCTTATACAGCAGAATAAAATATAGAACAAACATCAATTAGGAAGACAAAGCCCTGGACTTTACCATTAAATAGCCTGTAAAACTTCACCATTCAATAGCCTGGGCAAAATAATCAGCATAAAATGATAGATCAATAGTAGGTTCATTTGAAGTCTTATCCACTCAAGAATGAACTATGTGCACAACCTATGCTGATGTGCTTGTTAGATTCAGTATGATTCTTACATTATAACATAATTTAACATTATAATTCTATCATAGGTATTAATCTTTTGACAAATTTAAAATAAATTTCTCCTCTATTATGTCACCTTTCTCTTCATGTTGGTATTATTGACTTGAAGTTTCACAATTATATGCATTTTTAAATGTTTTCTGCTATTTCAAAGATCTTTTTAAAAGTTGGCCCTTTTAGCCCAGCCAGCGTGACTTAGTGGTTGAGCATAGGAGCCGGTGGCCAACCTCCCAGTCATGTTTCAATTCCCAGTCAGGGTATATGCCCAAGTTGTGGGCTTGATCCTGTGTGGGGCGTGCAGGAGGCAGTCGATCAATGATTCTCTCTTACCATTGATGTTTCTATCTCTCTTTCCTCCCTTCCTCTCTGAAATCAATAAAAATATATATCTTTAAAATGTCTGCCCTTTCTATTCAACAAAAGAACATCATCCTACTCCCTTATACCAAATTCTATTTCTTAACCAATATATTTGTACTAGGCTCTATCAAATAGCTAGCACAACAAGGAACTTTTTTTAAAATCTAAAGTAATAAATAGTCTTAGATCTTCTCCCTCTGAGAAAAAATAGACATCCACAATTTTATTTCTGTTTTTAAGCATGAAGAAACAAGGTCATCTTTTCATCTTATATGTCTACTTAATCATAACTCCTCAGAGGTATAAATTATGATTTAATGTGCTTCTATATATCTTTGGCAACTGGCTCAGAAACACAACAATTATGCTAGCCTTTAAAAGGATCCAGAATTAAGCTGTAAAAGTTGGGTACAGGGAGATATCCAGGAACAGAAGCTTCTTTTGGGGGAATGTCATCCATGTATGAAACAAACCTGAAGGTATTATTTGAGACTACCTCTAGGTAGGAACTTCAGACCTAAGGGGTCTAAGACTGTTACAATTATAATTATATTCATAAAATAAGCACATATTTTGCTAGCTGTTAAATTTCTCCAAGTAGTAAAGTAATTAAACTGTAAAATATTAATATTGAATCACAACCTTTTTAAAAAATTCAATTTCAAAATGACTAACTTTTGGGTACAAATTTTATTTCCAATTTTAATTTTCTTAACTTCAAGGAAGAAAAACATGCATTTAGTCTAGTGTATAAAAATATATATAAAATATTTTATTTTTAAAAATATATATTTTTATTGATTTCAGAGAGAAAAGTAGGAGGAGAGAGAGAAACATCAATGATGAGAATCATTGATCAGTTGCCTTCTGTACGCCCCCTACTGGGGATCAAGCCCACAACCCAGGCATGTGCCCTGACTGGGAATCAAACCCTGAACTCCCAGTAGATAGGTCTATGCTCAACCACTGAGCCACTTTGGCTGGACTAAAATACTGCATTTTTATAAACTATTCTTGAAGATGCCTAAGACATTTTCCTCACCTGTAAGGGGTGGGATATCACGATTAACTGTTTCTTCTGCTTCTTCTAAACCATTATTTACTGATGGCCTCACTTGAATTGCTTGATTTGAATAAGCTGCTCCATTAGTTGATGTAGTAGTACTGGTAGTGATCTCATCCACCTGTTCCATATCAAGTTGTTTTACTATCTCTTCAGCCTCCACAGCCTGTCCTGGGGAATCGGATCCTGATGTTCCTGAAATCATGATTCGGGATACTCACAATCATCATTTAAAAACTCATAGGGGTAGGAGAGTAAAACATGCTGTTTAAGGGTACAAATTTACAACAATTAATAAATAAGCCCTAGAGATAGAATATATAGTAAATATAGACAAAATACTGTATTACAATCATCAAACTATTAATAGCTAAGAGACTAAAATCTAATTATTCCAACTAATAAAAAGAAAAGGTAATGATGGACCATGAGAGCAGTGCTAATTATTGCTATAATAGCTATCATATTACAATATGTAAATGGACCAAATCAACATGTGATATACCTTAAATTTTCATAATGTTATGTTAAATATATTTCAATACAAATAAAATAAAATAATTAAAACTTACAGATATTTCAAAAACTAAACACAATAGAAACAAAGTTCAGGATACCACTGTCTAGTGAGTCTCTTCTAGACATTTCCAACAATGATGTATAAAGACTATTGTAAGAATAGATGTATAAAGACTATTATAAGACTATTAGAGTAGTATCTGTGAACAAAATTATTAAGAGTGTTCAAATAGTTTAGAAGTATCTACTAGAGTCAAATAGTTATAATTCAGAACTTCTTTATTTTTACTGAGATATAATCTATATATCAGTGACACGCATTGACCATTGGAGGGCAGACGCTCAACTCAGGAGCTGCCCCCAGCCTGCAGATCCTGATCACCAATGGGCCCTGCTGGCCAACCTCTTGGTCCTTCCCCCTGGCCAGCAGGCCCTGATCACCCAATCGGGGTCAGGCTCCCAGATTGGGACCAGGAACTGGGAGTGGGCAGCAGTGGATGCCACCCCTTTCCCAAGGCCAGCTCACTCATAGGAGCCGGTGGCCAACCTCCCAGGTTGGGCCCCTGGCTGGGACAGGGAGCCTCAGTGGATGTCAGTGAATGCGGACGGCTAGGGAAGGAAGAGGTGAGGAGGTGGGGAACTTGATCAGCCCTGATTGCCAGCCAGGCCTAGGGACCCCACCTGTGTACGAATTTTGTGCACGAGGCCTCTAGTTGACATATAACAAAGTAATTGATTGATATTGTACAACATGATTAGCAATTTATTGTTAGCTAACACCTCTAACCCACAACATAATTATCATCTTTTCTGTGGTTAGAACATTTAAGAGCTATTCTCTTAACAACTCTGAAGTATATTACACAGTATTTTTTTTTTTACTATAAAACTTCTTTTTTAATATATATTTTGTTGATTTTTTTTTTTAGAGAGAGGAAAGGAGAGGGAGAGTTAGAAACATTGATGAAAGAGAAATATCGATCAGCTACCTCCTGCCCACCCCCTACTGGGGATGTGCCCGCAACCAAGGTACATGCCCTTGACCGGAATTGATCCTGGAATCCCTGAGCCTGAAGGCCGATGCTCTATTCACTGAGCCAAATCGATTATGGCTATTAAAACTTCTTTACATTAAAGCAAGTACGTATCATTTATTAATTGCCTACTCTGTCTAAGCATTTTATATATATATATATTCATTATCCTCAAACAGCTCCTGATCCTTTCAGTACTAAGCATTCTAGACATTGTGTGCAGTTGTAATTTTTAAACCAGAGTTAGTTACCCAAGAATGAGATCATTGTTCCCTGGATCAGGTGGACCTTTTTATTCAAAGACCAAGGACAAATCTGAAATGAGATTTCATCTTAATATTCAAGTTAGTTTCCTCATTATTCTCAGCCATCACCTATATGACCATGCTGCCTAATGATGGAATGACCCCCAACTCTATTTTTTAATAGAATTTTCCAAAAGTCATAAAGTGGTTTTCAAAAACAAAATCCATCTCCAATACTCTCAACTGCTTTACAGAATATTCATTCTTCCTGCTTTAAATTTAACATTTTTCCAAAAAAAAAAAAAAACCCACCTCTTTTCCTGATATCCTTCCCTCAAAGCTCTTTATTATCCCATATTCATCTTACTAACTGAATCAGAATTTATTTATCTCCATTGCTGCTACCAGATATTTGGTTTCCACAATGTCTAAAAATGCCTGCTCCTTTGATAGGTATATAATTATTCACTTATCCCAACTACTGTAACCTGCTATCTATTGCCAGCATCCTCTCTTAATCACAGGAATTTATCCAGTTTACTGCTGTATTAAATGCCTGTTTAGTTGTTCTTACAGGTGATGCCAATGACTCATCCCATATCTAATCCTCAAAGGTCTTGCCCTCTTCAGCTCCATCTTCTTTCATACTGCCTTTAGTAGTGATTACCATGGCCATAACATAATCATTAACACTAAGAAACTGTTCACCTCTGGAAACTAAAATTCAAATACATTAATTCCCTACCACAAACTGCCTAATATTCTAATTATTTATGTACTCCTATTACAGGTGATCATCATGTTTGATAAAGGCCTGTCAGTCTTTTTATTCCAAACAGCTTCTAAGTCACTCTCTTCATCTAGTTAAAACTTCATGGTGTATCATTCATTAAGTCATTTTCAAGACTGCAGCTTCAGTGTCTTTTGCTCCCTTGTCTTTCCACTGCCATCCATCATAAAAAGCCCTAATGAATCAATCTAACCTACAGGTTTCTCAGGCACGGAAACCATCTATACTATAAAAGCCTAGGTGGTTGCCACAAGACGGCCGGCAGGGGAGGGCAGTTGGGAGCAATCAGGCCAGCAGGGAGCAGTTAGGGGGGTGATCTGGCTAGTAGGCAGAAGCAATTAGAGGCAATCAGCAGGCAGGCAGGTGAGTGTTTAGGAACCAGCGGTCCTGGATTGTGAGAGGGATGTCCGACTGCCGGTTGGGATCAGGCCTAAATCAGCAGTTGGACATCTTCCAAGGGGCCCCAGATTGGAGAGGGTGCAGGCTGGGCTGGGAGACATTACACTCCCCACCCCCATGCATGAATTTTGTGCACCTGGCCTCTAGTCTATATATATAAAAGGCTAATGTGCTAAGTATCTGACCAGTTGCTATGACATACACTGACCACCAGGGGGCAGACACTCAGCACAGGAGCTGCCATGACATACACTGGCCATTTAGAGAGAAACGGCACCACAGACATGGCACCAACAAAGCAAAACTCGGCTTCCCCCAAGTGGGTCCCATACCCCGCCACTACCCCAGAACAGCAGCCCACCAAATCACAGCCGACGCTGCTGCGACCCCCTGGCGTAAAATGCAGCCCACAGCCCAGCCCAGCCTGGAAATAGTGGCTGTGGGAGCCGGGTAATGATATCACATAGCAATGCCAAGCTTCCTCTCCCTACTGACAGGCCATTAAATAATAAATGACACCACAGACCCGGCACTGACAAAGCAACACTCGGCTTCCCCCAAGTGGAACACAGGCCTCATCACCACCCCAGACGACACCCCACCAAATCACAGCTGACACTGCTGAGACCCTGTGACGCAAAATGCAGCCCACAGCCCAGCCCAGAAACGGTGGCTGGGGGCACCAGGTAATGACATCACATAGCAACGCCTGGCTTCCTCTTCCTAGTGACTAGCCTCCTTAGAGTTTCTTCAGCCCAGAAACACAACTTGCTTTATAGCCAGGTGCAAACACTTTACACTGTAACCAAATGTCTGTGAAGCTTTTTCTCATGCCTCATCTCATTTGATCCTCACAGAAGTCCTGTAGTAGGTAGATGGGAGACTTGGTAGAATCCTATTTTCTTTTCATTAGCCAGAAAATGGAGATTTAGAAAGCTTAGAAACTTGACCTGATTGAAAAGAAGTAAGAAATGGTGGACCTTGAAAATGACTTCAAGTTTTCTCACTGCACAGAATATAGTCAAACACTGCTTCAGTTAAATATTTTACCCTTTGTTCTCCCTGCATGATCTACAATAATAGTCTGCTTCATGCTATTTTGCTGTCTTGCTGACAATTATCTGAAAGAGAAGTTGGGTGCTTCACTGGGCTAGAAAAAGTTTAGCTAAATCAGAAAACAAGTCTAATAAACAAGTTTATCTATATATATATAAAACTCTTGCTGGTGCCAATTGCACGTGTGTTTTGATCTGTCAAAGTCGATAGTAAATTTGGTTGACACTACTATTAGAGAGAAAGGACGAATAGCAATTAAAACATTTCTTCTAATTAATTTCCTTTCAACGTTCACGAATTTGTGCACCAGACCACTAGTATAATCATACTCCAAATAAAACCCTGTCTATAGAATGCTGCTCAAAATATGTGTATATGGAAGATATTCAGCTTTTACTTAACCCTTCAACAGTATACATTTTAAACCTTCACCATTCTCCTTAATCCCTGCCACCAAAATTATCTGAGCAAATGACCCCCTCTCCTCCTCCAAAGAAAACGATTATAACTATCAACTTCTAACCAAACATTTATTTCTGCACACACCTTCACAGCTTCTTTCCTCCAGCATAGGAGAAAAACATTTCTTCTCCCTGTTTCAATTCCAATTCTACCTCTTCTCTTGATCTCATTCCTATCAGCAAACTCCAGAAATTTTCATTAGTTATTTTTTCTTCTATTTGCAACATATTAGATCTTACCCTGAGACTTAAAAACATGCTTGTTTTTCACAAACACAAACTACCCCTTAAAACTTTGAGACTTTCATATTCATGTTCCTCATAAAAGTAATCTGTACTTGCTGGGTTTTTTTTGGTTTTTTTAAAAAGTATTTTTATTGATTTCAGAGAGGAAAAAAGATAGAAACATCAATGATGAGAATCATTGATCAACTGCCTCCTGTATGCCCCACACTGGGGATCGAGTCCAAAACCCATGTGGCTTGGCCAGGAATTGAACCAGGACCACATTGTTCATAGGTTGACGCTCAATCACTAAGCCATCCAGCTGGGCACAGCTTTCTTTCTTAATCCCCATTTTACTCTTAACCCTGTATGTTAGGCTTCCAACTCCAACCACTCCTCTGAAAATGTTCTGGCATCCAATAATCTTTTTTTTAAGTCAATCCTCACAGAAGAAAACTTTTCCATT